GGCTTTCCTCGACGCTTTCCTGGCCTCACCTTTGGCCTTCCGCCCCGCCTGCAAGGCCTTCCGCCTCCACGGCTGGGGCTTCTGAGACGTCAGGAACTTATCGATCCCTAACGCCGCCCTCCTCTGCGCAGGTGTCCTGAGAAGCTCGCGGGCCTCCTCCGCGTCTTCGAAGCCGTCCACGTCGTTGATTTCCATGCTGAGCCACGGCTGACGGGTAAGGTCTTGCAGCGCCCCCTTGGTCATCTCTCCTGATTCTACCATGACGTTCCAAGTCTCGAGGATACTGAGGTCTCCTGGCTCCCCGTGAGTGCTGGCCTCGCCCTGCTGCGATATGTCCTGCTGACTGAGCGGCTGGGCGGGCATTGGAAGTCCCTGAGCATCGAGATTGTCAAACCTCTTCTGGACCCAGCTGGATCGCAGACGATGCGTCCCAAGCTGCAGCGCGGCGTCCTGAAACCATTTCTCATCGCTGGCTTTCACGAATCCGCCTGAGGAGGGCTTTGGCCGAAGAACTGTCCACATATTCCGAACGCAAGACTTCCTGAGCGTATCGTCCTGCTCAAAGTCTGATCGGAGGTCCTCGATGGCTGACGCTACGGTCCTGAGGACCTCGTAGTTGCCGCACTTGAACACTGCCCTGGTGCTCTCCACCTCAGCAAGTCGTTGCAACTCCTTCCTCAACTCCATCTGCCTCCTCCTCACCTTGGCTTTGAGCCTGAAAGCCACGTCCGTGTCTGTCGCCTGCACCGCCGCCGTCATCTTACCTCTGATGAAAACAGGTAGCTGACCGAAAGCCGCTGACGCGTTGATAGCCGACTCTGAGAGAGCGCCCGCGAACATGTCTCTGAGGCCGATGCTGCAAGCGGCAGCCTTTGCTTGGTGCTGAATTTTCCACACTGTTATCACTGAGTCCTCGAACCCTGCTGGCTGCTGATATATCTCCACGCCCAACTCGCGCAGGCGCCTGAAGAGCTCCTTGTTCTCAGACCTGCCGGGACTCGGGCGCCCATGCATTCGCATAGCGCGAGCGGGAGCAGCACGTCTGTCCCCGTCGTCGTCGTCGCTGTCGTCATCGTCGTCGTCGTCGTCCTCCTCCTCCTCCTCCTCGTCCTCCTCCTCCTCCTTCTCCTCCTTCTCCTCCTCCTCCGCCCCTCTCCCCTTCCTTTGCGATTCCTTTTACAATCCCCTCTGATTAATGCAGTTTGGATGGCCGTCCTGAGGGGGAGCCCATTCCGAGATATCGCCCCGCTCCGCACCGTCGCGTTATGTTAGCACCCGCGAATCAGAGTACGAATACGAATAAGAGTACAACTAATAACACGAATACGAATGCATATAAAAGTGCGAGTGAGAATGCGAATACGAATACGAATACGCGTACGACTAATAATACGAATAATAATACGAACACGAATACGAATACGAGTACGACTAAGAGTACGAATAATGATGCGAATGCGAATAAGAGTGCGAATAAGAGTACGATTACTAATACGAATACGAATGCGAATAATAATACGAATAGTAATACGAATACGAATACGAATACTAGTACTAATACGAGTACGAATAGTAATACGAATACGAGTACGAATACGAACACGAGTACTAATACGAGTACGAATACGAATACGAGTACGAATACCAGTACGAATACGAGTACGAAGACGAGTAAGAGTACGACTAATAATGAGAGTCCTCCTGCCACTCCTTCCTCCTCGTCCTCCTCCTCCTCCTCCCCCCACCCTCGTTCCCTTCCCCGCAAGCGCGCTGCTCCCGTCGCGCGCTGGGAGTGCGAAAGCGTTGTCTGACCAGTCCCATGCCTTAAAGCCCTCAGGGACTGAGCGAGGTTCTCTGGCACTGGAGCACCTGCAATCCTGACGACCTCCTTGCCGTCCACCACGAACTTCTCACTCTCAATCCATCGGCCATCCTCTGAAATGTTTGAAAGCCTGCAATGCGTGCCTGTGAAAACAACTGACGTAGTGCCCCACTGAAACTGAGGATCTTTTGTCTCTGAGCACCAGCCGTGCACCCTCTGCTCGAGATCGACTGTGATCCGAAATTTGCCCTGATCAGCTGAGTTCTCACCTCTGAGCTGCGTCATCCCCTCGTTGTCGTCGTCGCCCTCCCCCTCGTCGTGAATAAGCTGGACGGCAGAAGCCTGAACGCTGCTGTCCTTGGTCTTCTTGGTCTTACCCTCCTGAACCTCGTGCTCAGCGTGCAATTGCTTGGCAGGGCTGATCTTGAGCCACATCGGCACCTGATCCGACATGAAGATCACCAGGTCCTCAACGCTGTCCCTGAAGCCCTGCGGGTCCGCGACGTGATCATCGAGGTCGCTGACTGGGTCCACGCAGGCCAGCCTGAGTGCCTCGTCGAAGCTCCACCACCCATGCAGAGCTCGCTTCTCCTCCTCCTCCAACGAGATGGACAGGAGTCGCTGAGGTTTGAACAGCCTGATACCGTACGTGTCCTTGATAAACTCTGAGGTGTACTGAACCATCTTTTCGCTGCGCCGGTGAGCTGCCTCACGCTTCTCAATCTCATTCAGGAGGTCCTGCTGCTTACCGGGCAACCAACCGTCTGGGCTCCTCTGAGCCAGTAAGTTTGTCTTCATCTTATCGGCCTGATGACAGTACTCCAGGAAGAGGTCTGACATGTCGACGTACTGACCGCCCCTGCGCCACTGCAAGAACTGCTTATACACCTCATCAAACACCGGCCTGAGGACGCTTCGTTTGCCAGGCTTCTTGTTCGCTAAAGGGTCCTGGCTGACATGGCGTTCAATGAGCCTGGCGCCTGAAACGCGGCTGCCGCCTGAGGCGCCCTGTTTCTTCTTGCGATGGGAGTGGATGCCGCCTGACCGACCGAGCTGCAACTTACTCAGGGCTTTCTCGACGGCGGGCTTCTGCCCCAAACCCTGACGAGCTGTCTGGTCTTCACACCTTATAGGTGGCGCGCTGAGGGGGTCAGGGGGGGAGGGGGGAGCTAATGGAAAGCAGGGTGCTTGGGTGCTTGGGGTCCTCCTCCTCCTAGTCCTCGCCCTCCTAGTCCTCCTCCTCCTCCTCCTCCTCCTCCTCCTCCTAATCCTCCTCCTCCTCCTGCTCCTCCTCGTCCTCCTCCTCCTCGTGCTCTTCCTGTTCCTATGCGCTTCCTATTGCAACTCCTTTACAGAAATCGATTTTCCCCGGCCGTCCTAAGGGGGAGTCCATCCGAGGGTATCGCCCCGCCCGCACCGAGGCGTTATCTTAGCACCGCGTGGCGCGGAAATTCCAAAGACAGCGAGGCGTGCACTCAGAGTGTCTCTGAATGTGAGTGAGTCTGAATGTGAATGTTTTCGCAATAAGAAATGAATCTAAATAGTAATGACATTCCGAATAAAATTATGAGTCATATAATACAGAATGCTGCAAATTTGTCATTAGGAAGCACCCTGCGTTCCAAGAAGCCCCCCCCCCATCCCCCTGACGCCCATCGGCGCGCCGCAGACCTTTTCCGAAGAGAGCCCTGATCTGCGCCCACTGCTGCTCTGACGGCATTGAACGCTGCTCATCCTCCACGTACCCTGCGTCTTTGAGCTTCTGCTCAGTGAACTGAGCAGCTTTCAACTTGTGGCCAAGCTGAGGCAGCTTCTGATGCTCGCCTGTACGAAGCACCCTGTTGACGGCGTCGGGGAGCTCTGCTGCGGCCTCATCCTGGTGCTTCTGAGGCCTCCCGCCGCACCTGCCGTACATGCGGCCCTCTTGTCCTGAGGCCTTTCCCAGAAAACCGGCCTCGCGAGCCTTCTGCTTCTGAGCTTCTGAGGGGGCTCCGAGGACACCGGAGGCGGCTCCGAGGGCACCTGAGGCGGCTCCTGCAGCACCTGCGGCGGCTCCTGCGTCGCCCCCGAGAACGCCCGAGGCTTCTCCGAGAACCCCGCAACTGGCGCCCTGCTGTCCTGACGCCTTTCCCAGGAGGCCGTTCTGGCGAGCCTTCTCTTTCTGAGCCTGACGGCGGCTGAACGAATCCCTGAGCCTCTGTCCTTCCTCTTCCTGCTCCTGGAGCGTCGCCTCTCGCTGCCGAGCAACGTCCTCCTCCGTGCCGCCTCGGAGCCGCGTGACCTCTGCCTGAAGCTCTGCAAACTGGCGGCTCATCGCGCTCATCTGCGTTTCCATCAACCTTTTGTGCAAGCTGTCTGTCCTCCTGACCCTGGTCGGCCTGAGAGCCTCGGCGCAAGCCTCCAGTGCAGCTGGGTCACCTGAGGGCGCGGGCGGCCTGCTCCTCCTGCGGGATCTCGGAGGCTCACCCTGCTGCTGCTCAGGCTGAGGCGGCTGAGCGGCCCTGCTCCTGGTAGGGGGCCGCCCCCTGCCTCGCGAAGGCACAGGCGCTGCCTTGGGCCTGATTCTCGCCCCTGGTAAGAAGAATCGCTCCATCCCTTGAGCCACCTTAGGCTTACTGAGCCACGATGGCTACGGAGGCGGGGGAAGACACGGAGGGGCTGGTCCAGTGTCTGACCCACACAACCCAGGCACTGCTCCTTTCTCTGACCCACAACCCAGGCACTGCTCAAGTCCTTGACCCACAACCCAGGCACTGCTCCAGTCTCTGTCCAACAACCCAGGCACTGCTCCAGTCTCTGACCCACAACCCAGGCACTGCGCAAGTGTCGGACCCACGACCCAGGCACTGCTCCAGTCTCTGACCCACAACCCAGGCACTGCTGCAGTCTCTGACACACAACCCAGGCACTGCTCAAGTCCCTGACCCGCAACTCAGGCACACCTCAGCTTTCCTGTGTCTCCTTCATGTGTCTCAGCTCGTCCTGAGCTTTCCTTAGCTTTTCCTTCGTTTCCTGAGCTATTCTTCGCCTTTCCTTGCCTGTCCTAAAGTTTTCTCAGCTCTCCCCTGGTTTTCTGAGCTTGTCTTCGCTTTTCTGTTGCTTTCCTCAGGTTTTCTTTTGCGTTTCCGTGATTTCCTTGGCTCTCTCAGTTTTCATTGGTTTTCTGAGTTTTTCTCAGCAGGGGCTTACCGGGGGCCTGAGCGGCAAGGGGGGCCTGAGCGGCCAGGAGGACCTGAGCGGCGAAGAGGAGGGGGGGACAGGGAAAGGGCCCCGTGGATTGGGTTCATTTGTCGCTGCGCAACTCGACGGAACATATGCAACATCTGAAAACTGACGGGCGCCTCCAAGCCGGCGCCTGTCGAGGAAGCACACTGAGCACACCTCCCGCCTGACCCTGGACAGACGGGCGCCTCAAAGCCGGCGCTTGTCGGGGAAGCACACAGAGCACACCTCTCGCCTGACCACGAGCTTCACCGCTCCCTGAAGCCTTTGGCAACCAGGCGATGCGTGAACCATCGTCTGCTCTGAAATCGCGCGGTACACTGCCTGGACGTGACGGCCCTGCTTGTTTCTGAGTACTGGCTGAAGAGCATCGCTGACCGCCTCCTTCGAAACGCTGACCGCCTCCTTCTCAGCCGCGACCTCCGAGAGAGCGCCTGACGACGCGACGCTGGCCCGCCTGCAGCAGCGCGACCCCGCGACGAAACCGAGGAAGGCGCAAAAGGCTGACCAGAGCACAAAGCAGCTGAGGAGGCCTTCCATGAGCTCTGGCTGACAAGCTTGAACCCAACAGACTTGATCTACCTTAGGCCTACTGAGCCACGACGGCTACGGAAGCTGGTGAAGAGACGGAGGGGCTTCTCCAGTCTTTCACCCACAACCCAGGCACTGCTCCAGTCTTTGTTCCACAACCCAGGCACTGCTCGAGTCTCTAATCCAACCCAGGCACAACCCAGGCACAACCCAGTGTCTAACCCACGACCCAGGCACTTCTCAATTCCCTGGCCCACAACTCAGGCACAACTCTGACTTTCCTGTGTTTTCCTACTGCTTCCTAGCTCCTCCTCCTCCTCCTCCTCCTCCTGCTCCTGCTCCTCCTCCCCGTCCTCCTCCTCCTACTCCTCCTCTCATAACAATAACAATACGAACGCGAACGCGAATAAGAACACGAGCACGAAGAAGAACGAACACGAAAAACACTAAGAGTAAGAGTGCGAATACAGAACGAACCAAAACCAAATAAAATAAAGAAAGAAAAGAAATGAAAGAGCAATATAAAACCAAAGAAAAGGTAGAGGAAGCTACAACAAATCACACAAAAGCGAAGACAACGGAAGAGAACCAAGGAATAGCTGAGAAAACGAAGACACAGCTAACATCCGCCTCCTCCTCCTCCTCCTCCTCCTCCCCCCGTCTCCTCCTCCCCCATCCTTTTCCTATTCCTCCCCTCCTCTTTTTCCTATTCGATTCCTTTTGCGTCCCCTTTACAGAAACCAACTGTCCTGGGCCTTCCTAGGGGGGAGTACAGCCCAGGGTATCCCCCCTCTCCGCACCGACCGCGTTATCTTAGCACCCTACCATATCAATAATGCCCAGATGGGAAGCGAAAGGTGGCCAATGAAAAACTAAGACAAAGTAAGGACACCAAAGAAACGCACAGAAAACTACAGGAATGCAACCAGGAGCTAACATAAACTAAAGAAAAGCTGACACAAACTAATGAGAAGCTAACAGACACTGAAGAAAAACTCACAGAAACGAAGCAAAACCACAGAAAAAGTAAGGAACAGCTAACATAAACTACTACTTCTACTACGACTACGATTACTACTACTACTACTTCTACTACGACTACTACTACTACTACTACTACTACTACTACTACTACTACGACTACTGCTACTACTACTACTAATAATAATAACAATAATAATAATAACACTACTACTACTACTACTACTACTACTACTACTACTACTACTATCACTACTATTACTACTACTACTACTACTACTACGACTACTACTACTACTACTACTACTAATAATAATAATAATAATAATAATAAAAATAACACTACTAGTACTACTACTATTATTATTATTACTACTACTACTATCACTACTACTACTACTACTACTACTACTACTACTATCACTTTGACAAGATTCTCTCGCCTCTTCTCCTCCTCCTCCTCCTTTTCCTCTTCCTCTTCCTCCCCCCTGAATGTGGTGACGTTTACTCGGCCGGCCCTGGCTCATCGGTGGGAGCGGCTATGGCCCCCATGAGGGGAAGCGGATCACCGTACGCACACGACTGTTTAGGTCGTGCTTGTCGCCTTTTTTTTTACGCTACGACTACTACTACTACACTACTACTACTACTACTACTACTACTACTACTACTACTACTACTACTACTACTACTACTACTACTACTACTACTACTACTACTACTACTACTACTACTACTACTACTACTACTACTACTACTACTACTACTACTACTACTACTCTACTACTACTACTACTAGTTTTTCCTCCTCCTCCTCCTCCTCCTCGCTCGTCGTATGGAGGGGGGTGAGGTGGGGGGCCACCCCATGAGAGGAGCGAGATAGGCCACGGAGCCAGGAGAAGGATGAGGTATGGGGTGAGGAGAAGGATGAGGGTGCACCAGCGGAGGGTGTTTTGCAGCATCGACCGGCGGAGGACTGCTCTGGTCTCTGACACACAACCCAGGCACTGCTCAAGTCCCTGACCCACAACTCAGGCACAACTGAGCTTTTCTTGTGCTTTCTTAATGTTTCTCAGTTTTTCCTCCTCCTCCTCCTCGTTCGTCGTATGGAGGGGGGTGAGGTGGGGGGCCACCCCATGAGAGGAGCGAGATAGGCCACGGAGCCAGGAGAAGGATGAGGTATGGGGTAAGGAGAAGGATGAGGGTGCACCAGCGGAGGGTGTTTTGCAGCATCGACCGGCGGATGACTGCTCTGGTCTCTGACACAACCCAGGCACTGCTCAAGTCCCTGACCCACAACTCAGGCACAACTCAGCTTTTCTTGTGCTTTCTTAATGTTTCTCAGCTTTTCCTCCTCCTCCTCCTCGTTCGTCGTATGGAGGGGGGTGAGGTGGGGGGCCACCCCATGAGAGGAGCGAGATAGGCCACGGAGCCAGGAGAAGGATGAGTTATGGGGTGAGGGAAAGTATGAGGGTGCACCAGCGGAGGGTGTTTTGCAGCATCGACCGGCGGAGGACTGCTCTGGACTCTGACACGCAACCCAGGCACTGCTCAAGTCCCTGACCCACAATTCAGGCACAACTCAGCTTTTCTTGTGCTTTCTTAATGTTTCTCAGCTTTTCCTCCTCCTCCTCCTCCTCCTCCTCCTCCTCCTCCTCCTCCTCCTCCTCCTCCTCCTCCTCGTAGTGAAAGGATAAGCTAAGGCAAAAACCAAGGAAAAAGGGCACACAGGGCAACCTGAGGAGGCCCGAGAAGGGACCGGAGACGTCCTCCTGAGAAGTAAACAAAGCTAAAATCCTCCTCCTCCTCCTCCTCCTCCTCTTCCTCCTCCCCCTCGTCCTCCTCCCCCCCTCCTCCTTTTCCTTTGCGATTCCTTTTGCACCCCCCTTAGAGAAATAGGCTTTCGTCGGCCTTCCTAGGGGGGAGTCCATCCCAGGGCATCCCCCCGCCCCGCACCGACAGCGTTATCTTAGCACCGTCCTATATCAATAATCCCCAGAGGGGACGCGAAGGGAAACCAAAGAAAAGCTAAGACAAACTGATGACCTGCGAAAAACTGAGAGAGCAGGAGAAAACCAAGAACAATCTAAAGAAAACTAAAGATAACCAAACCAAAGCTAAGACAAAGTAAGGGAACCAAGAAAAACTAAGAGTCTCAAGGAGAACCTCACAGAAACGAAACAAAACCGAAGCAAAGCTAAGGAAAAGCTAAGAGAAACTAAGGGACAGCGAACACAAACTAAGGAAAATCTAACAGACACTAAGGACAAGCTTACAGAAACCAAGGGAACGCTAACAGAAAACTCAGGACAAGCCAACAGAAACGAAGGAAAACCTAACAGAAACGAAACAAAACCAGAGAACAACTAAGGAAAAGCTAACAGAAACTAAGGAAACTCTAACAGAAACTAAAGAACCTCAGTCTTGGCGGCTGAGCTAGGAGTACGAATAATAATAGGAATAAGAATAATAATACGAATAAGAATAATATTGCGAGTAATAATATGAGTAACAGTAAGAGTACGAATACGAATGCGAGTAATAATACGAATACGAGTACGAATATGAATACGAATAAGAATAATAATAAGAATACGAGTAAGGAATACGAGTACGAATAAGAGTAAGAGTAAGAATGCAAATAGAAATACGAGTACGAATAGAAATACGAATAAGAATAATAATGCGAATAGGAATAAGAACGCGATACGAATACGAGTAAGAATACGAGTAAGAACACGAATGAGAGTAATAATACGAATGCGAGCACGAACACGACGACGACGACGACGACGACGACGATGCGGAGCAAGAACGACGACGACGACGACTATGCGAAGCAAGAAGTCCCTAACGAGTACGAATGCGAGTAAGAATACGAATACGAGTACGAATAGGAATGCGAATAAGAATAATAGGAATACGAGTAACGAATGAGTACGAATACGAGTAAGAGTAAGAATACGAATAGGTATACGAGTACGAATGCGAATACGAATACGAATACGACTACGAATACGAATACGAGTACGGACACGAATACGAATAGGAATAGCAATATGAATACGAATACGAATACGACGACGACGACGAATACCCAACGCAGCAGCTTATCCCTGAGGCGTTCGCAAGCGGTGAGGGTTTGACCGTTAACCCTCTCAAGGTCCTGAACGCTGACCCGATAGCAGCAGAAGGCCTGGCGGGCAGCTGACCAGGCATGCAAAAAACCTGAAGCCGCGCTGAACCGAAGGCGGAGAAGGGGGAGAGGGAGAGAGAGAGAGAGAGAGAGAGAGAGAGAGAGAGAGAGAGAGAGAGAGAGAGAGAGAGAGAAAAGGAATCAGGAGGACGAGGGGGAGGAGGAGGAGGAGGAGGAGGGAGGCGAAAAGTAGGACAAGGAGGAGGAGGAGGAGGAGGAGGCGGAGGAGGAGGGGGAGGAGAGTCCCGGCGGAGCGCTGCTCCTCACTCGTGAGGCTCAAGAGCCCTGACGGCTACTGAAAGCTGAAGAAGTCGACGATCTCGTGCGGAGTCAGCTGAGCCAAACTGGAGCTGAGTGTCGCTGAAGCATCGTAGGCCGGGCCCTGGCCGTGGAACTGATCGGCCCAGCTGTTGCTGAGCTGCTGCCTCATCAATGTGAGTTTCGTGCCTGAAGCAAGCTCGCCTGACTCCTCGAACGCCTTGTTGGCGATGATGGAGAGCTGAACCGCCGACGGCATCTGACTCGTGCGCCGCAGGAAATTCCTGGAGTACCGACTGAGATACTGAAAGGCCTGACGGGATGCGCACCACTGGTCCTGAGCCATGTCCCACTCCTGGATCGCTGCGGCGATTTGCCGCTGAGTCTCCCATGGAGAGAACTCCAGGCCCATCAACCGACGCTCGATGAAGCTGCACCTGCGGCTGATGTTGTCGCTGATGTAGCAGCTGCTTTCGGCGGCGCTGAGCATCTTCCTGAGCAGGAAGATGGCGTAGGCGAGGAGCGCGAGGCCGATGATCGGCACGAGACTCTCGCTGACCTGAGCTAGGGAGGATGTCTGAAGTAGGAGGAGGAGAAGACGACGGATAAGGAAGAATGAAGGAGGAGAAGACGACGTCGACC